CCCTGGGTTATATTAACCCTTGAAATGATGCTTCCCCTCACCTGTCTTTACCCCTCACCTTCTCTGTCTGTCTTGTGAGAATGTCTCTTCCTATCCTGTGGCATCTGCTCCTTCCAGCCATTTGAGTGTCAACAGAAAGTGTCTTGGATTTCATCTTTCATCTCCTGGGCTGGCTTTGTCTAGAAACCTCCCTGCTGCCCCCATCCAGTTTACTGACCCTAAACAGTCTGTGCTCTACACCTGGTCTGCACAGTGGTTTTAGGAATGTTGAGTGTTGCTTGCTGCATCCAGAATGGGGACCTTTGTGATGCATTCTTTAAAGCGCAACCTTGCTCTTCTAGGAGCCTTCTCGTGGTTCAGGGGTTGTAACTCAGGCTTTCTGTTTTTCACATCTTTACAGTCTCCCAAGCCTTATTTGGAACCAGGTGCCCAATCTTCTAGCAAAACCCCACACTTTGGTGCTTCAGGAGTACTAGGATTAGCACTTTGAGAGATCCAGAGGTGGTTTTGAATGGAATCACATTGACAATAGAGAGGCCCCACCCCCCAGCTCCTGCTCCAACTTTCACCAGCAAAGCTGCTCATTGTTTGGCTGACTTTTTTTTTCAGAGATGTTTTCTATAAAATCACTCATAATTGTTCTAATTTTAAATTTAGTTCCTATGTACTTACGTTTTACAGTCTAATTGAGAGCCCTTGGTGAGAATAGGCATTATTTCCTGTGTCTTGTTGTCATCCTTAGTCTTAGCACAGAGCATATTAATCACAGTAATTGGAGCTATGGTCAGCACAAAAAGACATGCTGCCTTTACCCCCACCCCAGATCCTGTATACTGTGACTGTTCATGTGCCCCAAGGACATGAATCCTAGGTTTCCTTTCTGGCTAATTTGAGCTTTCTGCTTCCAATGCTCCACTGTGTAACTGACTTTTTGAGCTGTACCAGAGAGGACTATGATCAAGCCTAGCTTGCAGCATTACAGCTCTTCTAATTATTGCCATTTTGGGTCTTAAAATATTTCAATCTGTAACTCAGAGCTTTTCCTTCCCAGCTCAGTTGGCTGTTTTACTTTACCAGGGGTATATGTTCGTATGTGTTGTATGGTATGGTGGTGGTGGTGGTGGTGTGTGTCTGTATGTTGTGCGTGCTGTGGTAGAAATACTATGTATGTGCATATATGTGAGTGTGTGTATTATTGTAGTGAGTATATTGTACTATTGTAGTGTGTGTGTATGAGTATATGTGTGTATGTTGTGGCTGAGGTGGTTGTGTATGTGCGTATGAGAGTGTTTTGTGGTGGAGGTGTTGTGTTTGTGTGTATGAACATGTGTATATGTATAATTGTGTGAGTGTGTGTGAGTGTGTGTGTGAATGTTCATGTTGTGTGTTAGGTATGGTGGTGGTGTTGTGTTTGAGTTACCTCACCAAGGAAGAACTTAGCTTTAATGTCGGATCTAGATGGAAATAAAATATCTTTGGATGCTCTTATTTCTAAACATAGTTGTCCCAGGAACATTTCAAAGCATCCTCTAGGCCTTGTCCATACTCCGTCCTTGTGAACGAGTAAACTTAGTTTCCCTTGGCTGTTGGGGTCAGTCCTTTAAGCCAATAGCAATTCTCCCAGCACAGTTTCTTATTGGTAGGAAGAGATGAGGTGGCTTATGATCTTTGCTGCCAACTTACTGGGTTTGGAATCGCCTGCAGACAGACCTCTGAGTATCTGTGACCCAGAGAGGATTGCCTGAAAAGGGAACAGGTGCTCTGAATGTGGCTCCCACCGTTGCATGACCTGGGGTCCTGGCCTGAATAAAAGGGGTAACTGAGGAAGCCAGCTGAGCCCTGGCTCTCATCTCTCCTCACTTCCTGTTCCCTGTGGCATATTCCTGCCACCGTGGATCCCATGATGCCTTCCGCACCCGTAACAGACACTACTCTTTTAAATTCTGAGCCAACTAAACCCTTCCTCCCATAAGTTCTATTTCCCCCCCTCAAGTATTCAGTCACCCTGATAAGAACAGTTAGTAATGAGCAGGCTCTGAATTAAATGAACTAAAATTTTCATGTGTGGAAAGTTTCTTTCTTTAAACTATTGCCAGTTGGCCAAATTTGGCTCATCACCATTTTAGTAAATAATAATAATAATAAAAATATGACAACTGAGTCACATTCGTTTATTTATGAGTAGTCTATGCTTTTTCCACCCTGAAGTGGAAGAGTTGCTGTATGTGTCCTGTGATGCCCATCTGAAGGGGGAACGGGGTATGTGCAAAGTGGAGGAATGGAAATGTGGAGTTAAGATTCAGCATTGAAGCCTACTTTTCCTGCTTTACCCAAAAGCCATAGCAAAGCCAAGAAGACGTTTTCTTGATACCACGTGACCATGAAGGGTATCTTGGTGAGAACTCTGATCCTTCTCATTCTGCTAGTGTGTATATTTTCTTCTTCACCAAATACAGTATCGTGTGGGTTGTGTGTGGTCACAAAGGCCTTGTTCCTAATGCTAGAGAGAATAACATGGCTTTTACTGTACATGCTGTCAAATGGCCAATTAAATAAGAGTTTCAAGTGTTCAAATTCTCAGTACCTAAAGAAGAGGTAAGTGCCAATAGACAGGAGTTGGAAATAGGTGTGAGGGTATGTTGTCTAGATAGCACATCTTACCATGGCATCTTTTGACACTTCCACTTATACGTTAAAGCCATCAGCTATTTAGGATGAGGATGACAGATTTTGAATAGGGTGGCAAACAGTGTAGGCAACTGGAGAAAGCTGCAGAATTTTCACCATCTAGCTTTTAAAAAATGGCGCTTATAGTTCAGACAGTTCCTTTCATGTTTCAAAAAGAACGGTTAAATTAGCAGTTGATTCTGATGGAGTTCCTCTAACTGATGGGAGCATGCGTTCACATCCTTACAGTCTTTCCAGTTGTCAGCAGCTGGAAGAAGCACTGGGAAAGCCACATGCTTAGTTCTTAGTTTCAAACATCTTAGAAAGGAATGTTTTGTAAACCAGAGGGAGGCTAGAAATACACCCCAAAAGCACATTTTTCAATGCTTTACCGTGATTGAGTTACTACAGAGTTGGAGACCTGAGGCTCTCAACTCTGGGATAATTGGGGGCTCAAACAAACAAACAAACAAACAAACAATAACAAAAACCCAAACAAACCCCCCACCAAAAAATCAGAGGAAATTATCAATAAGAATGCAAATACATTGAAAGAGCTAAATGTTCCTTTGCTTTCAGAGAATGATCTGCTTCCTCTCTCCCCTCTTCTCTCTCCTGTCTCTCCATTTTCTCCCTTCCTTTTCCTTCTTCTTCTCTACTCACGTCTTCCTTTTTTCCCTATCCTTCTTTCTTCCTTTGTTTCCTCCTATCTGTCAATATCTCAGCAGCCATGTGACTAGCACATAGATTAGAAGAGAATGCTGATTAATCCTTCAGTCAATCAGAAGAAGGGCAAACTTACTGAGAAGCAAAAGGCAGTTAAAATCCAGCTTCTTATGTTGAAGAGCAGTGAAGAGACAAGGAAAGAGAAGAGAGGAAGAAAGGACAGAGACTAGGCCTCAGAGGGAGCCAGGAGCAGGGGTCCGGTGGGATGGATCCAGCAATATATCCCATGAAGTATGTGAGGCCCAGCAGAATTTCCAAGTCAGTTGTTCGAGCCATGTTTTTTGAATAATACTGTGTGGCCAGCATTAGGAAAATTCAAAGATGCATAGACACTGTTTGTGTATCCATCTTCCACGTGCTTTTGGTGGTGTATGGGGGAGTGTGGACATTTGCTTAAGAAGTGTTTATCATGTTGTGTTGAGTATAAACAGTGTGCTACGACCATAACAGAGGAGCTCCATGTAAGAGGTGACACTTGACCTTAACCTTAAAGATGGAGAGCTTCTTTCCTGTTTCTGCCATATCCAAGGGGATACTAAAAATGAACATATCTACATGTCAAAGAAGCTTTGGATCAGCTGAGTTTTTAGGAAAGCATTCCCTATACTGGGGGGGGGGGTTGCTATCTGGGGAAATGACACAGCATCAGCTGCTGTTGTTACTCAGAACACAGCATGGGGGAAGGTGAAAGCCATTTGCTGCGATGTGTCACTCACTCGCCTGAGGACACACCACTGCTTCCAATCTTATCAGGAAGATGGGTAGTTCCTGTGTTCATACTCCTTCCTCATCTGCAGCTCTGTAATGTGCTCTAGATTCTGTGCTCTTTAGAGCTGCGGTTCCTCTATTTGGTTGCACATTAAAACTCCGAATCTTCACTCCAGACTTACTAAGTCAGAATTTCTGAGTCTAGCTAGGACTTGGAAATCTATATTTGTAAAAGGCTCTCTGAGTAATCTGGTTGACGAGCCAGGCTGGTGAACCACTGCTGAATAACAATCCAATCATATTAGTTAAGCACATGACATTGATGCCAAATTGTAAAGCTATGAGATGGCCTGAGCCTTGATTTAAACTCATCAATCAAGTCATCAGTGTATAAGAATAACATAGCCAATGACCTGAGGTTTAAATTTCTGTTTACCTTACAGGGATAACATGTCCAAATTAAGAGTTCTGTACTTAATCTCTTTAGAGTTCATCCCACTTATCCCATAAACTTTCCATGGGTGGAGGCATAGGTTCTCTTTGTTTTTCTAGTAATTCAGAATGTAGGTCAGAATATTTGTGAGAACCACTCACTCTGTAAATGAGAAGCGTCATAGCAACAAATCTGGAATGTTATTATGCTGCCATTATCTCTAACCTAATTACCGAATACCCAGCCATCCACTAAACCTTAATATTATGAGGAGTTTATAAACCTATCTCAATAGCTATTTAAAAACTGACTTTTAACTTTACGGGACTGAATGTAGGAGGTACAAGAGGAGGATGAGTAACACGGGGCTGAGCAGGCTGTACACAGGGAGAGCGGTCCTCTCTACATTACTCTCTCGTTCTTCGGAAGGAGTGAGGGAAATAACAGGAAATCCAAAACGCAAGCATGTTGTAATTGTACTTTAATGAAATTAAATGAAAAGCAAGCCTTGTAAAATAAAGTGCCTTTGCAGATTAAACAATCACATTAACTGATAAAGGAAATATGGAATAATCAAGTTATTTGAAAAGTTCTATCTTAGTCAGAATTGGTTGAAGATTCCAATTCACATGTTTAAACATAAGACGTTCCAAACTAACATGAAAGAGATCCCTCCCTCTTCTAACAGAATCTTCACAAGCAAATAAATATCTTAAAATTTTTAGATAAAAACATGAAAAATACTAATAACCCTGATAACCAAATCATCAGAAATCACAGCCCAGACGGAAACAGACATGATCACACCGAAAACTTGTTGACTTTCTACCGCCTTCATTAAAACATCTCAAACATCGTAGGAAGAAACTCTGACACTATCTGGGCAGCTACTATGTCAGAGACAAATGTGTAATCAAGTGTTGACAGTGGTTGGATGTCACAAAGAAGAACCTCAACAAAGTCTTCCCAAGAGCTCACTCAAGCTTACTGAACTTCTGCTAAGATTTATTGCTTACAGAGAGGCTGGCACGGTAATTTCCCACAGTAACGTCTTTGCATAAGAGGAATATCCAGAATCAGGGCTGATAGATATTACTCAAGGCACATTATTATGCTAAGAAATACAAATAAAATTATTCTTGTCACCATGTAGCAGAACAAAATTAACTCGATATAACAATATCTTTCTATGTAAAAAGTCAGGCATCACCTGAGGTTTGCTGTTTCATGAGAATGAAGCTGTAACTAAGGCATTAAGAAGTACTTGACCAACAGAACTCCACCTTGAGCTGAAAATTTAGTTGATTTATATACACTAATGGAATGGTGACTATTTAGTGATGCTTATTTAATAGGGCAATCAAATTCACATAAGTTGCTCTGTCATCAAGTTCTTAATTATATTTTAATATACAATATTTTACTTCCCTGATTCATATGTGGATATAGATAATAACTGACCTTTGTAATTCATTATATCCCTAGAAAGAAGTAAACAAGTAAGAAGAATTAGTAAGACATGGTTGCTAAACTTCTGTACTGCAGGCTTGTATTGTATAGAGTGTTGACTCCTAGCAAGAACTAGATTTAAAGTTTGGCAATTGAAGTTATTCAGCCTGAAATTATATTTCTCATGATCTTACCCCTTCTCTCATATTTTTATGTAAGCAAGCCTACATTTCTTTCAGCCCTACAGGCATAGAAAATAAAATATGATATCAGAATTCCCTCAGCTGATAAAAATCACAGTGTGGTTAGCGATGTCATAGCCCAGGACACTTGGATGGAGATGTGGATTTGCTGTCTTGTACACTCAATAGGAAGAAAACAATTTACCTTAGTTTTACTGGGTGAGATGGGTACCCTCCTTATGACCTAGGAAAAGGGACATTTCATTTTCCTGATTTCTTTTCTTGAGTGCTTTCCATTCAGAAGCATTTTCTATGAACAATAGGAGGACCAGCTTCATCATATTCCTGCTTACTGATCCACATCTGCTGGAATGTGGATAGGCTGGCAAGTATGGAGCCCCCAATCCAAACGGAGTACTTGCGCTCTGGGGGAGCTATGATCTTGACTTTCATGGTGCTTGGTGCCAAGGTTAGAATTTCCTCCTGCATCCTGTCGGCAATGCCTGGGTACATAGTGCTGCCTCCAGACAGCACAGTGTTGGCATATAAATCCTTACGGATATCCACGTCACACTTCATGATGGAGTTGAAGGTTGTCTCATGGATCCCGCTGGATTCAATGCCTAGAAAGGAAGGCTGGAAAATGGCTTCTGGGCATCGAAAACGTTCATTCCCAATGGTGATTACCTGCCCATCAGGGAGCTCATAGCTTCTTTCAAGCGAGGAGGAAGCAGCTGCGGCGACCATCTCCTGCTCAAAGTCCAGGGCTACATAGCACAGCTTCTCTTTGACGTCCCGTACAATCTCCCGCTCAGCTGTGGTGGTGAAGTTGTAGCCTCGTTCTGTCAGGATCTTCATGAGGTAATCAGTCAGGTCTCTGCCTGCCAGATCCAGTCGTAAAATGGCATGGGGCAGAGCATAACCTTCATAGATGGGCACAGTGTGAGTGACTCCATCCCCAGAATCCATCACGATACCTGTAGTCCTTCCCGAAGCATAGAGGGACAGCACAGCTTGGATAGCAACATACATGGCAGGTGTGTTGAAAGCCTCAAACATTATCTGCGTCATCTTTTCTCGGTTGATCTTGGGGTTGAGGGGGGCCTCCGTGAGAAGAATAGGGTGCTCGTCGGGTGCTACCCGGAGCTCATTGTAGAAAGTGTGGTACCAGATCTTCTCCATGTCATCCCAGTTGGCGACAACTCCATGTTCTATGGGATACTTCAGGGTCAAGATGCCTCGCTTGCTCTGGGCCTCATCTCCCACATAGCAGTCTTTCTGGCCCATGCCTACCATGACCCCCTGATGTCGCGGTCGCCCTACCATGGAGGGGAACACAGCCCGGGGAGCATCATCACCCCCAAAGCCTGCCTTGCACATCCGTGACCCATTATCTACTACCAAGGCAGATAGCTCGTCATCAACCATGGTTGCTGGCTAGGATCTTCCAGGCGGGTGAACAGAAGTTAAATAAGGATAAGTCCTAGACTATGTTGTGCAAGGAAGAGAATGGCTAATCAGAGAATACTCCAGAACTGCCTACAGAGAAGAAAGCCTGCACCTTGATCACAGGTATTTAAAGGAACGTATTGACCCCACCCATGTCCTGTCCCATCAGATCCCAGCATTTCTGGGTGGAGTTACCTTTGAGGTATTAATGATGATGATAATTACAGAAACCATTGGCAGGCCTTCTTCCATAAAGAGAAAACTGGCTATCAAGTGGCTAAATCTCAAGGTGCTATAATTAGGCAACCCACACATTGCTGCCAGTCTGCTTGGTGAGGTCTCTAGATAGCTACCTGATGCAATGGGTGATGTAACCACAAGATGAAAGAGAGCTCGAGAAGGGATGGGTGGCCCTTCTGGAAGGACTGCCCCTCTTTAGCTTGCACTCTGACTCCATTTAGCTTTGGATTTTCAGTTTTGATATATTATTCATATGAAGGGTCTGATTCTGTCTTTACCTTTTAACGATTTTCTTTCGCATTGCTATAAGATGTCATCACGATAGAAGCTCTTTTAATGAATGAAAACAATGAATGACCCCGGGTGGCCTAAAGGCTTTAATCAGAATGTACTTGTGCCATGAAAAATGTAGAGCTATTTAATTGACTTCAAATTCGCCAGGCACTATAGAAACAGAATAGTGGATCAGTGGAATCGAATAGAAGACCAGAAATAAACCTATTCACCTATGGCTACTTGAGTTTTGACAAAGAAGCCAAAACCATACAATGGAAAAAAGACAGCATCTTCAACAAATGATGATGGTCTAACTGGATGTCTACACATAGAAAAATGCAAATAGATACATTTTTATCACCCTGCACAAAACTAAAGTCTAAGTGGATCAAAGATCTCAATATAAAACCAGACACACTAAATCGGATAGAAGAAAAAGTGGGGAACAGTCTAGAACTCACTGGCACAGGAGACAACTTCCTAAACAGAACACCAACAGCACAGGCTCTAAGATCAACAATCAATAAATAGGACCTCATGAAACTAAAAAGCTTCTGTAAAGCAAAGGACACTGTGGTCAGAACAAAATGACAGCTTACAGAATGGGAAAAGATCTTCACCAACCCTATATCTGACAGAAGGCTAATATCCAGAATACATAAAGAACTCAAGAAGTTGAACAGCAACACATCAAGTAATCCAATTAAAAAATGGGATACAGAGCTAAACAAAGAACTCTTTGTAGAGGAATATAGAATGGTGGAGAAACACCTATAGAAATGTTCAATGTCCTTAGTCATCAGGGAAATGCAAATCAAAACAAACCCGAGATTTCACCTTACACCCATCAGAATAGCTAAGATAAAAAACTCAAGTGACAATACATGCTGGAGAGGATGTGGAGAAAGGGGAACCCTACTCCATTGCTGGTGGGAATGTAAACTTGTACAACCACTTTGGAAATCAATCTGGAGCTTTCTCAGACAATTAGGAATAGCACTTTCTCAAGTTCCAGCTATACCACTTTCTAGGCATATATCCAAAATATGATGAAGTACACAGCAAGGACATTTGTTCAACCATGTTCATAGCAGCTTTATTTGCAATAGCCAGAACCTCTAACCCAGATGCTCCTCAGCTGAGGAATGGATACAGAAATTGTGGTACATTTACACAATGGAATATTACTCAGCAATTAAAAACAAGGAAATCATGAAAATTTCTGGCAAATGGTGGTATCTAGAAAAAAATCATCCCAAGTGAGGTATCCCAGAAGCAGAAAGACACACATGGTATATACTCACTTATAAGTGGATATTAGACATATAATATAGAATAATCATAGTAAAATCTGTACACCTAAAGAAGCTAAGCAAGAAGAAGGACTCTGGGTAAGAGGCTCGGTCCTCACTCAGAAAGGCAAACGGGATAGACACTGGAAGAGGTAGAAAACAGGGAACAGGACAGGAGCCTACCACATAGGGGCTCTGAAAGAGTCTACCCAGCAGTGTATCAAAGCAGAAGCTGATACTCATACATTGGGCAGAGTGCAAGGAATATTCTGAAAGAAGGGGAGATAGTAAGACCTGGAGAGGAAAGGAGCTCCACAAGAAGAGCAACAGAACCAAAAAATCTGGGCCCAGGAGTCTTTTCTGAGACTGATACTCCAACTAAGGACCATGCATGGAGATAATCTAGAACCCTTACTCAGATGAAGCCCATGGCAGCTCAGTATCCAAGTGGGTTCCCTAGTAAGGGAAACAGGGACTGTCTCTGACATGAACTTAGTGGCTGGCTCTTTGACCACCTTCCCCTGAAGGGGGAGCAGCCTTGCCAGGCCACAGAGGAAGACAATGCAGCCAGTCCTGATGAGACCTGATAAGCTAGGGTCAGATGGAAGGGGAAGAGGACCTCCCTATCAGTGGACTTGGAGAGAGGCTTGGGAGGAGATGACAGAAGGAGGAAGGGATTAGGAGGGAATCAGGGAGGGGGCTACAGCTGGGATACAAAGTGAATAAACTGTAATTAATATAAAAATTAAAATTTAATTAAAATAAAAACAAATTTACCAGGCACAAGTAAAAACAATGGGGTGATCGATAAAGTAAGCCAGTGTATGTTTTTCTGACATACTATCAAATAACCGCAATTTATTACTTGCATTTTCTAATGATCAAATTTATTACTATGCATTGATATTGTTTATAGATTTACTAAGTTGACATTGACTGCACAAAGGCAAAATGTCAATGTTTTTTGAGTGATTTATGAGTTAAAATGCAAATTACAATAATCTTATTTGCAACAATTTTTATACAATATTTGAGTTATACAGTAATAAACAAATTAAGTGATAAGGTAAATTTTTAAATTATATATTTGTGTGCATATTAATTTTTTATTACTGATCACCTGATCACCAAGATGCATACATTTTTTTTATGACATCACGTCCATCTGTGGTTGTTAAACTCAACCCAACTTGTATAGTTTTGTTTTCCTTTCCTTTAAAGCTATATTACCCTGACCACTTTGGAGGAAGTTTATTTGAATTTAATGTTTAACATAGAAATCCAAACAACTTGTTAAATGTGTGTCTTGATGTAGGACAGAAGGAACAATCAATTAAGAAAGCTGATGATTTCTTGTCCCATGTTTGTCAGGTCGGTAGGATAATAACTTCCTTTTCAATTCTTCTAAAGCAAAGTGATTTTTCATATCCATATGCATTCTCCAAAATCACCTTTAGTTTGATTCATTCATTCTTTTGTCCCCCTCTCCCCCACAAATCCCACTTTATAAGTGAAGGTAACAGTAATGCATTGCTGAGTAGAAATACATCTTCAGTCGACACTTTTGAAGGGCTTACAGAGACTGAAGCACCAACCAAAGGACCATGCATCCATGAACTGGATCTAGGCTCCTTACAAAGTTGTAGCAGATGGATAGCTTAGGCTTCATGTGGGTCCTCTAGTAAGAGAAGTGGGGGCTGCATTGGAAGAGGACATGCTCAGTCCTGATGCAACTTGATGAGCTGGGGTGAATGAGAAAGGGAGAGCCCCTTTTCTGTGGAGAGGGGGGAGGGTGAGGCAGGGAAGGTGGAACTGGGAGGGGAGAAAGGGATGGGGCTACAACCAGGATGTAAAGTAAATAAAAAAATAATAAACAAAAAGGAAAAAAAAAAGAAACATATACTTTCAGGTTTAAATCCCACAAGAGCAAGCTTGTGTCTTTACCCAGCAAGCCTCTTCAATACTCATGGTAACAGCATGTTGTGAAGGTCTGGCTTTCTTTTTGGGTTGTTCAGTTTGAAGTAGAACTGACCTTTCTCTAGGTCTCCAATGTATCTTCAAAAGATTCCTGCTGAAAATCAGACAGGGCAGGAAGTTTGTTTGAGCACAAAGACTTAAGGTCTTGCTTTGGACCCCACTAGGACCAACCTTCCTTTTAATCTTTTGGATGACTGAAAAATTCTTCCTTTGATCATTGAAAAACTGAGCCCCTAACCTGAATGGCTTTATGAACTTCCTTTTCATGTAGTACAACAAAGCTTTCCACTATTGCAATATTTTATGGCTATAGAATGTTGGATGTTGCTTCTGGGAATGTCTTTTTTTTTTTTTTAATCTCCACAACACATTGTATGAGCATCATAAAAATGAACAAAATATACATTGTATTTAGCACAGGCTCTGTTCATGAATTCTGAGTTCCAGTCTGGAGTAGACTGCAAAGCCATGTTAGCAGAATGTCAGAAGAGAACGCTCTGTGGTGCCAGATACAGTCTCACACCCTAGGTTGATTTCAGAGCTGTCCTTAGAATTGCCTTTAAATGAAGGTTACTGTTGTAGAGCTTGCACAGCCCAGCATTGAAAGTGAGGTTGCGCTATGATTTGGTGGATAGCCTCTATTACAGTGTTTGACATCCGCAGAGACAGCTTCATTAATTGCGTGTTCTTAAAACAAGCGTTTGACATTTTAATTAACTTCCAATAACACAAGAGGGTATATCCTAATTCAGCAGCTGTTTGAGACAGGTGTGGTTGTGTGTATCTGTAATCTAGCACTCAGGAGGCTGAGACAGGAGAACTGAGAATCCCAAGCCAGCCAGGGCTACATGGAGAGAGATCGTGTGTCAACAGGAAACAACACGACAGCATTCCCACAAAACAACCGCTGTTTTCATGTCGTGCTGATTAAATTTGGGAAAAGTAGCTCAAATTTGTCTGAGTGAAATACGGGAAGATAGGTTTCTAGGGGTGACACTTGGGGATGATATTCCCGATGGCACTAGGTTTATAATTAACTCTGGTTTATAGATTTTTTTTTTTACTTATAAAGACCTTTGTAATTAAAATCACACACATATGTATATATGGACTCTCTCTCTCTTTCTCTCACACACAGATATATTGCATATTAACCGAGTTTTATATACAAACCCAGTCTATGGATAGGTATGGCCATTATACTTAAGGACAGTGAGCTGTGGCCATAGGGAAACAATGTCACTGTAAACAGAAAGCAATTCTCTTGCAGAGTCACCTTCTTTATTCTCTCAACAA